TCAGACATGTCGCCATTTTAAACACTTTATTGAAGCCGTACATCCATGGTTATTTTCTGTTAGAGCCGTGTACTAGTGAATATCATCTACCATTCGTTGTGTTGAAACAGTCTCACCACAGGGTAATTGTCTGAGTAATGCGTGAAAGCAGTTTGGAGCTTAATCGATTTTAGATGTATAATTAAAGCTTCATGATAGCAAAATGTCATTGAAGACATCATCATCATCTGTAAGTGATCAATGTCTGCATGGCTTCAAAAATGACTTCCAATCGAGAGTTGTTGTCGGAAATATATTAATACAAGTATGCATATATATTACCTATTAATATATAGGCAAACAGGTTGATTGGAACGAATAAAAATAGTACGACCATTTTTAGCTTTAAAGTGTTTGATCTTTAATTTGATTTATGGACGTTAAAAGCTTATTATTACGGCATTGATTAATTTAAAACTTAACATTTAGCAACACATGCCTTCCACTAACGATGCACATGTGTGCTATTTAATTATAACTCAAGTTATGATGTGTATTGAATTAGTATTATATTTATACCTAAATTATTGTATGTTTAAAATCGAAACTAAACTCGTTCTTTCAACTCATTCTGTCGATAATGACTGGATCTAACTTTCTACATAATCCAATGTTTTCTTAAGTTGTTTCAGAATTTCGCGTAAAACTACACAAGACCTCATTGATCATTGTTCTTCCTTATTTCTGAACTGATGGTCAATTACGTCAACCGATAATTTTGGGCTACTCTTGTGTAATCGAATAGTAGGATTTGGTCGTTACTCTTGAGACCAATTTCACTGGTGGTGTTCATTTTGGTTTACTTAGCATTGTATCAAGTATGACTTTAAAAACGACGTGATATGTTTAAACTGACCGACTCAAGCGTTTATACTGATCGGCTCGGGTACATGAGCCGAGCCTATGTACAACACTGATAAAGGTGAAGACAAGAGCAATTCTGACTTAATGTTCTAGCTGTGCCTGGAAGTATATGTAAGCTCTGCGAGTGCTTCCAACAATGCCAAGTCACCTATGTCAGGAGGGTCTCGTTATAAAGGAAGAGAAAAGAAGATTTTCCTGCGTCTCTATTTTTGGGTATGTCCGGCATGCTAGATGTCATCACAAAAGGACTAACGGATTATCTAATGATCTGCTCTAGCCCTGGCCACACGTAACAGCCAAAGGGCGGGATTAGCGACATTCAGAGCTGGGTATCTCCAGCTTAGCACAGAGAACGTGTAATATAATTTAAAAAATGTATCTAAATATATCCGTTTTTATGTTACAGCAATAAGGTATATTTATTGTTCCTGCATTAAAACTACAAAAGTAACTCTGGTAGACTACATGGATTTGACTTTTGACTTTGACATGTCCTTGACATTTATGAAGTTATTTTGACCTCTTGCACAAGTATGATGCAATTCGGGGTTAGTAATAATGTACACACTAGTCTAATATATTTGTTATTGATATGCGACGCGTTCCCGAGTGGGTCAGAGGTAGGTTTAAGGACTTACAACTCTAAAATCCGGGATTCGATTCTCCCTGCTGATCAAGGCGCAGATAACCCATTATGTAGCTTTGTACTGAAACAATAACATTGTATGTGACACTTTATGTTTTTTGTCCATCTTACAGTTCTTTTTTTTCTAAACATCAAAAATGAGTTGTTGTTGAATTCCAATTTTTTCTTTCCTTTAGATGTTAAAACTAACAGACTTGTTGTGTTATCTTTATATACAGTGGTTTATATTTTCTTCCGCTGCTTGTGTCTTCTATGTTATTCGTTTAATGCTTGGATGACTTAAATTCACATTAGAAAACGAATGGATGTGAGGATGCGTTAAGACATTTTCACACTTCTAAGAAAGCGTTCCTTCCTTAGGATGCAACGTCCATACGGTATCAGTAAAGCATTCTGAGGGTTCTGTCAGGCTCATCAAAAGAAAAAAAAATCCTATATATATTAAATATTGGTTAGAGAAAGATCCAGAAAGAACGCTATCTTTTTTGGCACAAGATTGGCAGTGTTATCTTTTGCCGTCAGCTTCTTTGCTGTATTTTTTATAAACTTTAAAGTTATATATATATATATATATATGTGTGTGTGTGTGTGTGTGTTTGTGTGTATCAAAGTTATATGTATGTATATATTATTATTAATGTTTTAGCCATATGCTGAGGTGAACACATTTTTATATATATTTTTTTTATGTTTGTTTTCTATGTATATAAATATAGTGCTGCGAGAAGAATTATAATTGTATGAGATATATAATAGAAGACTAAATTCTTATCTATATACAAAAAACTATTGACATAGCCAAGTGCTTTACCCAAAGGTAGTTTCTGTGTAAAGAGATATAACGTACTTTAAGTACAGTATGCGTTCCACTTAGAAGTGAATTTTGATGCAAATAACTTGGCGTTGGCGGTAAAACTGAGATACGCTCGGAAAGATTACAAGTATAAACGAAAGCCGGAGAAGATAAGGATTCTTAAATAAACACTCTAATGTAATAAGTACTCATTCATTCTGTTGTGTCGATATTTTAATATGACTTGTTTTCTTCGTTCCAGGTTATTTTCATTCTAAATTTTCGTCAGGATAGTTTGAAGAATTAACTTTTTCTAATTATTCAATAATATACTTAAACTGTTTTTTCAGAAGTGATTTATATTGGCGTATATGTATATATATATATATATATATAAACAAGTCAATGTGTTCTCATAAAAACTTCATAAAACGGCCAGAACGTAATAACGATTTCTGAAGTGAGGATAAGAATATAGATATGTTTTGAACGAGAGGAAATTTAGTAAATGTTCCATTCAAACAGTTGGAATGAAACACCGAACAAGTTTTCTTTTTTATGTGTGTGTTTAATACCTTTTATTTAATGTCTTGTATTCAGAGAGTGCAATCATCCGATGTTTAATCAGTAAAATTATGGCCAACAGGGACGAACGTACGGTACTAATCAACTGGTTCTCATCGCGCACTTACTGGCTTGGGCACATCGAAGACTATCAGTGAAAAGAATTATTACATTTATGAAAAAATTAACTGCGAACGTAAAATGTCAAGAAGTGTCAGTTATCCACGAGTCTGAGAAGATGCTAAATGATAAAGAAATTAAAAAGTGGTAGTGATTGCAGCTGTTTTAATACAAGAGGTATACTTAAAAGAAAATTAAACTAGTAAGTATCTATACTTAGAAATGTAAATCATCGAATTTAAACATATGTCACCGTATTTTATAGATACATAAACGTATATATATATATACACACACACAATTAGAAACAAATGTAAAGAATAATTAGACATTCTGACGTATTTATGTGTCAAGGGATAATTGTACAGCGTAGTATAGTATTACGCAATGTATTGCAGTTTCTTTGCATCATAAAGCCAATATACATAACTTTGGGAACTCAATAATCACAATTACAGAGACAAGACAGATAGGTAGGCTTATTAATGTCAACTTGCTAAACTGAAAAAGCCGAGACGAGGTATGATAAGCTGCTGGATGTATAGAAAGCTGATGTTTCAAGTTATCACAATGATTGGCTACCACTATTTATTGACATCAGGAAAGTTAACACCATGACATTTAAAACCACTATTCAAGCATGAGAAATGTTCTCTTTCTTTAACATCATAAAGTATTTGTTGCAACACATACGCATTACGTTTCTTGTATCCATTGTGGACACTTGTAAACAAGCACTAAACATGAGGTTTGTACGTTATGATCTCCATGAATGTGGGTGCTTTCAGAGAACTAGGACACTATTTCATACATCATCTGACAAGTGTTCAAAACTGTCGTGTTTGGCGCAAAACCTATCAGCGTCAGGGTCTTGATAATGTGTCACAAATTATGCGTAGTGGTAAAAACCCTTTTATCTAAATTGGAAAAGATGGCCAAATACGATTATGGAAACAAGCAAATGAAATATTTTATTGTGGAGGTAGAGATTTTTATGGCGTGGGCTACATTATGGAAATTGTGTGTGAGAGCTAACTTTGAAACATCTACACCTGGAAATACCCATGAACATATTTCAGGGACCGTAGCAGAGGTCGTGGTCAGCAGGATACTTGAATTGTTTCAGCTGGATGTCACATAACATGTGCGATCGACTCATATCAGGATTCACAGGGACAATATCAACATTAACAATATCAATGTCCATCTCAAGACTCTAGATCATAATCACACAGAAATTATTTGACTACATTTCTAAGGATTTGTTCGAAGAAAAGTTAGACTACCACCGTCTAGTTGTCATCAGTTGGTGGATTTTGGAACATCAGTGAAGACAAATTGCACCGGAAATTGACTGATACTTATCAGAGAACATGTCACGTAAAACAGCATTTATTCGGGCTATCGTCATTGTTTTACCATAGCATAACAGTGATCACTATAAGTCCTCTACACTCCCTCCCTCTCTCCCCCTTTTGTGACAATATGCTTGGATATTTTTTGGCGAGTCAGTACATTTCGTACGTGTATATATACTGATTTATTTAATATTAAGTTAACCCACTTTACATTGATTACATGTACAGTTAGCATTACAACTTAATATATATTGATGATTTCTCTGCTATATTATCAATGATTTTATTGTAATATCTCAACACTAGTATCAAATAGCACACACAATAATACATATAAGTTAATGTCCTATAGTTTCCAACGAGTAAGTAGAAAAAGTATTTCTTGTCACAGCATAAAGAAGCTAGTTTTCCATCAACAGAACTTAAGACAAAATAAAAAACGTTATTATAAATCTACACATGAACTTTAAACTTACAAAATATAATTTATAGTGGACAATCGAACAATTATAAATGTTAATAAATTTATTATGTATAAATGGCCTTTATACATAATATTTCATCTACCTTTATCAAGACCAGAAACGATACTTATAGAATTTTAAATCAACTGGACCTGCTCTGACTTGGACATCCCTGCTTCCAACTTTCCCCAAAGAATTAGACGCCACACAGCGGTAAAGAGTGGAGTGAACATCTTGCCGGTAATTTTCTGACTGAAATGGTGGAAACAACAATGTACCGTTAGACATGGAAACTCGTAGACCAGGTAGATCGGTAACCTTTGTTCCATCCGTTATAATCCAGTAAACATCCGGGATAGGGTTTCCTGAAGCCGAACAATGAAGTGACGCTCCCGAAGTGTTGAGGAAAGTCAGCTTCGAGGGAGGTTCGACATCTATCAAAGGAGCTCTGTAGTCGGAAGTTGACAACACTTCTGAAATGAAGATTACAAACGTGATTACAGCTCTATGTTAGCAGGGGAATGTGTATCGAGATTTTGTCATGAAAAAAGATTTAATCAAAAGTCAAACTAGTTGAAAGGAAGCCACTGTTACGTTTCGTCAAAACGATTGATTGTTAATTATAAAAACAAAACGTATTTGGAATCATCCTGAAAATCCGTTTTACTTTAGTAGCACTTTGAATAGCATATAAGTTAATTAACAAAATGCCCTTTTGGATCTACAGATCACAATCCTACTATGTTTTCCTTATTGACTCATTAGACCAATCAAGTTTTTTTACTTGATGTTTGTATATAGCGAGTAATTTATGGACGCATAGTATCCGAAACGTATTTGTTTTGCAGTATCTATACGAGTAATTTATGGACGCATAGTATCCGAAACGTATTTGTTGTGCAGTATCTATAGTTGAATTTTTATATTACACAGTTTTGGCATTTAAGTAAATAATTACGCTTCTTAAAAAAAAAAAGAAAGTTCAATAAATCAGACAGACGTTTTAACATAATTAGGTTTTTCTATACGAATATTTACATGAATCTATTACACATATTTTAAAATCTTCTTTAGCAGAAACACATTTCATAGTAATATGTATTTATATTACAATGATCATTAAAGCACAATTCAATTCATTGCAGTTACTAAGGTGTTATTATTTGTAAAATATTTAAATGTATTTATTCCTAATATTTCCAAAAAATACTATCATTTCATACTTATCTGAGATATTTTGATTAGAGACTCTGTTCTCGAGTTATTTGGGCATTTTAGGTAAAATAGATCCTCCATCTTTTTAAATGTTTTGCTCTTTCACACAGAGTTTTACATTATTGATGTGTTTTACTGAGATGTAGGATTTACAGCTTATTCACATGAAGGATATAATATATCTAACATGAAGCTAACTTCTGAAAGTTTGTCACCCTTTTTATGGTCAACCTTAAAATTGCACAACGTATAATACCCAGTTTCTTACTCCAAATGTTTACATACCAGTTTCTGCTATGTTATTTTAAAAAATGATGCAAAAAACCCATAAACTTATCATGAAAGTCACTTTATACAAAGCAATAGAATAAGGATAAACATAATAAGAGGCAGTTAAGATTCTTAACATAAACGCTCAGTTACTCTACGCAATGGGAAAATTCTTATTTTTATGAGTCAAGATTCCTTTTTAACAGCTGGAAATCTTCTTGTTTTCATTTAATATTCAGAATTGATTTTATTGTAACGTATATCTTTATAATGTTTGGTGTAGTGAACGTCCCAAAGGAATCAACTATATTAAATAAACGTATGCTTCGATTAATTAAGTTACTAAAGTGGAAAGTAATTTTTAGCACTGCTGTTTTTTGGCTTTAAATTTAATATGTAGAAACTGTCGCAACTGTAATAATAATTTCAATTAAAGCTACCAGTGTAATATCTTTTAAAATACATTACCCAGAACGAAAGGTACGTTGACTAACGATAAAAGCTATTTCTAAATTACTTGTAAGCTATAATAATGGATCTTTTGGTCAAACAAGTCAGCTATGTAGTCGAGGTTTAGGGTAAGAGTGAAGCAACATTGATCATAAATTTTCGAACAAGAGATAATGGTATCTCTAGATAAGCGGGAAAAGTCGCATATAAAGTACGATCTGCTTAAGTAAAATATTAACCTTTTTTTTATTTTCTTTAAATACGAGCGCATATAAAGTACGATCTGCTTAAGTAAAATCTTAACTGTTTTTTACTTTCTTTAAATAAGAGCGGAAATCAACCACATGCACCCCAGTGGCACAGCGGAATGTCTGCGGACTTACAACGCTAGAATCCGGGTTTCGGTACCCGTGGTGGGCAGAGCACAGATAGCCCATTGTGTAGTTTTGTGCTTAATTACAAGCAAACAAACAAACAATCAAGCACATAAAGTCGTGATCGAGAAGCACATTCTTCATTCTTTGAAAATTTAGCATCATGATTTATATCTGGAAATGGCGCGGCATGGCCAGGTGGTTAGGGCGCTCGACTCGCAATCTGAGGGTCGCGGGTTTGAATCCCCGTCCCACCAAACATGCTCGCCCTTTCAGCCGTGGGGAAGTATATTATGTGACGATCAATTCCACTATTCGTTGGTAAAAGAGTAGCCCTTGGCGGTGGGTGGTGATGACTAGCTGCCTTCTCTCTAGTCTTACACTACTAAATTAGGGACGGCTAGCGCAGATAGCCCTCGTGTAGCTTTGCGCGAAATTCAAAAACAAACAAACAAACAATAATGACGTGTTTATACTTATATATATTTGGTATTTTCAACCTGAACACTGCTTTACGCGATACCTGGGCTAAACGACAAGGTTACAGACCAAAGGTTTAGCCAATAGCCATCTCTCACAAGAAGGCGTGTTATCAGTCAGTAGCACCTGTAGCCTCCACGGCTACTTTTAACTGACTGGTATCACGATTACAAAGCTTTATAGTTGAAAATGCCGAGAGTGCTCGTTTGTATATCGCAGTTTGAAACTCTGACCTTACGATATGCAGCCCAACATCTTAACCACTAAGTCACGCCGGACAAACTCATGTACAAGTTCTTTGTAGGTGAAAACTTAGACCAACAAACGAATAGATAGAGTGACAAAGGAAGTAACAATAAGATCAAAGATAACTAGTTGGACAAGCAGGCAAATAGACAGACCAACTTGATTCCTTCTTTAGAAAAAAACGATTTCGTACTAACTTCAAAATATTCTAAAAGAAGACGAATACTCTAATTAATAGATTTCCAGTCAAATTATTATGCTAATTAATCTGTATTTTATACTCTCATGCGTCCTCGCCCATATGGTACAAATGTTAAGCTCTACTCTTTGTTTCTTACAAAGCATAAAACTGTACAATGGGCTTTATGTGCTGTGACCACCGCGAGTATCGAAATCCGATATTTAGCGTTGTAAACCATCAAACTTACAAGCTTATCGCCGAGCCAATTGGAGGGGGCAGCTCTATTGTTACCAGTTTCAAGTTTTAAATCAACACATTCTTCATTAAATCCCGAAATATTGTGATAGTACAGACAAATTACGACATAATTCATTTTAAACACAAGATTAAATATCGAGAAATTATAACTAAGGAAAGCGATACTCTTCAGGTTGAGAAACTGACCAACCAATATAAAGCCACAAACAGTTCAATTATTTTGTCATTGTACAATATCACCATTTTCTCTAGTAAGATATGGGGTTGTGGGCATATCGCAGATAGCCCATTGTTTAACTTTGTGCTTAAACAGAAAAAACATTCTAAAGTTATAATTCGGAACACACAAAATCTGGTTTTGGTCGTGTGCCACTTTAACCCTAGGTGTTACTTTCTGTACCAGAATTGAGTCATGGAAGCTACTTACTAATTTTTGGGATTGTTTTATTGTGTCATATATTATGTATATGGGACTACTCTACGGTTGACTCGTGTGCAATTGAACTCTAGGTGTTACTTTCTGTACCAGAATTGAGTCATGGAAGCTACTTACTAATTTTGGGGATTATTTTATTGTGTCATATATTAGGGACTACTCTACAGTTGACACACAAAGCAAAAATACTTCTAGATACCAGTGATTCAATTTTCTAATCAAACAGGTACAAAGAGAATGTGAACTATGAGAGCATCTTTGGTATGTTATATCTAAAGAGAACCAACACTTATTGAAAATGTTATACTCTATGCTTAATCGTTTTGACATTCAACTCACTGATGGTTTGTTTTTGTGACATTAATACTGTCAAAAATCTTCAGTTGTTTCTAAGAAGAGATTATTTCTATTTTTCTTTCCTTATATAAATTTCTCTTACTTACTGTTTGTAATTTAAACTCAGTTTATTTATTCTGTTTGAACTTGAACTGAATAGAAATGCAATAGTTATACTGCAGTATGATGTACAACTCTTCTGTTTTCATTGAAATGCAATAGTTATACTGCAGTATGATGTAAAATTTTTCTGTTTTCATTGAAATCGCAGTAGTTATACTGCAGTATGATGTACGACTCTTCTGTTTTCGTTGAAATGCAGTAGTTATATTGCAGTATGATGCACAACTCTTCTGTTTTCATTGAAATGCAGTAGTTATACTGCAGTATGATGTACAACTCTTCTGTTTTCATTGAAATGCAATAGTTATACTGCAGTATGGTGTACAACTCTTCTGTTTTCATTGAAATGCAGTAGTTATATTGCAGTATGATGTACAACTCTTCTGTTTTCATTGAAATGCAGTAGTTATACTGCAGTATGATGTACAACTCTTCTGTTTTTACGCCCGTAAAGTGTTCGTTTTTGTTCAACTTCATAATGTACCTTGTCTCTTCAGTCCACTTACAGTGAATCACTTTCATTTCACCTGTCCTTCTGAATAAAAGATCTGTGAATCTCTTGTTATTACTCAGATCAGGTAACTGTGTTTATGGTTTATCCTTGGAACACCACAATAATACCTGTATTATGATGACTTTAAAAATAATGGGTTATCTATACCTCAAGTAACTTTTTTTAACCAGTGTGTCAACGCAGTATGTGTTCAGTCTGGCCTGTATCTGATAGGTCTGTTTGTTTTTAGCCTGATTTATATTTTTACGCCATTTTGGGCATTAAATACAAACATCAATTTATTCAACTTGGAAAAAGTATAAAATAACCAAGTAGATTGCACTTTTATTACAGAATGAAAGATTATTAGGAGTTACTTTTTCGGTAAACATCTCCCTGTGTGCTAATAGAGGTAAAATATTACACCAGCGCCATTAAGACAAAGTCACGTGACCTCGGCTTTATAGTTTGGTAGTGGCAAGTATACATTTTTCTTTATCACTGATTACAAAGATGGTTCCTTCTACAAAACTTTTAGGCAGTAGTAGTTGATATTTTTAAGGCAGTAATAGTTGATATTTTTAAGGCAGTAATAGTTGATATTTTTAAGA